AATATCACGCCGCTATTTTAAGCCGATTATCGATCACCCTGTCGGTTGAACCGGGTAAGAAACTTCGACTGGAAACTTTCGTTCATCCCGTTTCAGACCTGTTCCTCGTGAGACTTGGTCACGATAGAGAACACAAGTTCACAACACGAGAAACACACTTTCGAGTGATTGATTGAATCTATGAAATTTAACTTGTGCTTACGAGAAAACTTTTTTCTTTTATAATTTTAGTAATTTTGAATTGATCGGGGAAAAAAATTGGTGGTAATTCTTTGATTAATTTAATTTCGATTACTTAGATTTTTTCTTTTCTTGATTCTTTTTTCTATTAATTTAATGGTTTATTAATATTATTTTTTTTCTGGCAGCTTCTAGATATATTTAATTCGGCAATTTCTACTTTCCTTGATACATTTTAATTGTAAAATATAATTTATAAATGTAAATTCTAACGAATAATAATTTCCATTAATTAAAATTTCGAAATTGTTACACGACAATATATTTATCAGAAAGGGATGTTGATACTTGAATAAAAATATTTTTTAATGGAAATATTTTTTATAGGAAAAACTTTTAACGATTGCCCACGATATATTTAATGAAGTTTTAATAGCAAGTTGTGGCGTATGTAATCAAATTTCATTACGAAAATTATAAAGACTTTTTAACATTTCCTCGTTGTGGAAGTTAGCAAAAAATTATAGTGTACATAACAAAAAAATTTTAATTTTCACTATCGAGTTATAAATCTTTTTTTTCGTCGAAATATTTTAACCCATTATGAAATATATAAAATTATTGAATTTTTTAAATATATAAATTTAATTCATTTAATCTAATAAATCAATATGAATTAATATGATTGTTGAAGCAGCTTTAAAAATAAAATAAAAAAAAAAGAATTCTAATAATATCAATATCAATAATTTACAATACAAAAATTATTACTCCAATAAATTGTTATATTGAAAATTCCAGAAATTTTTTGTTATATTCTTTTAATATAAAATTGATTTCTAATAATAAAAAATTTTAGTTCTTTAAAATTATATAACAAAAAAATAAAAAATGGAAAAATGATAACATACAAAATTTTTCTCGGATTTTCTAGTTGTTAAAAAAAAAATTTGATTGAATTTTATTTTGTATTAAGAAAACATAATCTGAAAGAAAGTGGCATATAAATTTTTTTTTTTTTGAAATTTGACATATTTATTTACATTTATTTATACTTCATTAAGTTGCGATACATAAAAATATATAGAAAAAATATATATATATATACACAATAGAAACAAAAATATATATAAAATATATATATATATATAATATGTAAAAATATAAAAATATATAATATAAACACGTAGGTATATGTTCAATCTTTTTTTTATTATTTCTCTTTATGCTATACATTTCTTATTAAACATAAAATTATAATTAATCTATCTATTTTTCTTCCTTTACTTCTACTAAATAATAAACATAATGCATATTGTCGATAAGTTAGATAGCGATTAAAAAGTTTCGAAAATCAGCGCCATCTCGCGTTTGGATCCTGGAAGCTTCGATTTGTTACTAGCATAGCAGAATATGCAAGGAGGTATTCGTGACGTCACAGAGAGAGAGACTAAGATCTGCAAGAAGGACAGAGATATGCCACTATGGCTCCTAATATCTTCGCTAAAGACGCAACGTAAAAAATTAATAATAACTAATTTTCTACTAAAAATTTCTGCACTTTTAAGCTTGAATCTTCAAGATGGAACTTCAAACAAGTTTCTTGTATCAATTTTAATAAAAAATTCTTTCTAATTAATTATTTATTAACGATTACTACGGAGAGTGTTTCCAGTCGCAAATCCTTGCTTCGTATCGAATAATAAATAACGAAATTATTCTTTTAAACAACGATAAATATATGAATAAAAGTTATATGTGAAAATAGAGGAGAAATCGACGTTTCAAATGCATATATTTATATTTAAAAATAAATCCCATAGCAATAAGAAATTAATGAAAAGATATAACGTATCGAAGATATCGATTCAATACGACATCTTGATCGTTAATAAAAAATTGGAAAGAATTCCAAATTAAAATTGAAAAACACATGAGAAACTTCTTTGAAGTCTTAGCTTCAAGATACAAGCTTAAAAGTGTATAAATTTTTAATAGAAAATTAGTTATTAATTAATTTTCTATGTTGCGTCATCGAAGCGGTGGGAGATATTAGGAGCCGCATAACCAAAGTTAGTGGCACATACCTCCTTGCATATTATACATTGCTAGTAACAAATAGAAGCTTCCAGCGTTCAAACGCGAGATGGCGTTGATTAAAATTTTTCTATCTTTAATCAATTTATATGCGAACGTGAATTCCATCGATAATTTATAAATGAGGAAATGTTCAAAAATACTTATTTGAAAAGTATCGTAAAGAAACCCCGTATGAAAATGTTTCGAAATAAAGAAAATTTCTCTGGAAGATAAAAAATATATAAAAATTGTATATAAAATTTATTCAATGTATAATAATATATCATATAAAATATATATACGACAAAAATATAAAAGGAATATATATAAAAATAAATGTTATTATTTAAAAAATTAAATCATTAAATGATTTCATTGAAAATTCCGTTGAAAATAATCTTAATCTAATATGCATGGTTTATTTAGTCCTTTCAGACTTAAGGAATATTCCCTTGATACCTCCATTAGAATGAACCTTCAAACTTTCTGAAACCATTCCTCGAACAATATTATTTCGTGAAATTGTATAACAGGGATAGCTGAGAGTAACGTTAATATTTCGGTGAGAGATACAATGTAAATTTTGTTTGGCAAATGTAAATGGTGGTGATATTTCACCAGTAACTCGGAAATTCTCTTGAATTGAATTCCTCGAATTATCCCCCCGTTTCGTATCGATATGCATCGAATCCAATATTTAACGATATGCGCATTTTTTCATTTATTCATTCGTATCTAATCTTTATGATATTTCGAAAAATTATATTTCATACAGAGATACTGTTTCCTTTTCTTTTTGATAGAAACAACAGTTTTAAGACATCTTTGTAAATATTAAATTGAATGGAAAAAATTTAAATTGACAAGGAAAAAGAATTTTTTAAAAAGTGATACATATATACAAGTATTATCGTATAAATATATAATATAATTTGTAAAGTATTATTGGTTTTAATAAAAATTTCTACAGATAACGTTATTACATTAATTATAAAGAAATGAAAAGCTGAGAGATGAAAGTATAAAAAGTGAAAAACTCTATAAAAGTTTCCACGAGATATAGCAAATCTATTTATGTCACGTCCGTAACAGAAATATTTGAAACTAATTATTACCTACATTAATTATGAAATAAGCGAAATATTGAAGGATAAGGATATAAAAAATAAAAACATCTATCATTTTCTTTACTAAAACCTAAAGAAGTAATATTGAATTTGTAAAGTCTTTTTTCAAAGTCTTTTTGATGAGATGATAAAATTCTGTAAAACAGAAAATAGTGTGTGACGTAAAAATGTTGAAACAGAGTTCGAAAAATTTAATAAAGGATCCTTTACTTCGGAAGACTCGTATAAGATATAAAATAGAAGTTATCGCAAGAAATTGAAGATGCTAAGATTTCCAATTTTTTATTTTTGACTCTTCAATCCTCATTTTATTGCTGCTTAGCATTACTTTATTGTCACCAAAGTTATCGTTACGTCTATGTAAAATGTAAAATAATATATAAGTAAAATAAAAGAAAAATAGGAAAAACGAGAAAAATCTCAATGGAAGTACAAAATAATAAAAATAAAAACCAGAAATAAGGTAAAAATTCATATATTTCGTCAAAATAATTAATTATAAAAATTAAAAAGCTAAAAAAATATTTATATCTACAATAAATATATACCTACAATAAAAAAGGGAACCGAAATAAGTCTGAAAAAAATATTTAAAAATATACAAAAGAACAAACAAATAAATAAAACAGTTCAATCGTTTGCTGAAAAAAACACGAGAGTAAAAAGTAGTGAAAAAAAAAAAGAAAGAAAGTTAAGCCCTCTTGCGTTTAATCTTAACAAAAAAGTTACCATGAAAAAAAGAAAAGGTTAAAACAAAGGTTAAAACGCGAATTAGCTCTTTCGAAAAAGAGGGAACAATATCACCGTGGGTGGGTGTTAATGCATCCGCGGAAGGAAGAAATAAATTTGTCAATTACGTTTGTTCACGGAGATATGGGGCAAGCAGTTTCAAGTTTCTCCGTTATCGCGATCCTTTCCGCAATCAGTTACGGAGAAAAGAGCAACCGATGCGGTTGGTGGAAGGTATGGCCCGTTATCCTAGCTAACCGGCGTCTACCATTTCCGGGCCGTGGGTGTGCAACCTCGACGGCCGAAAACGTTTTCTCGTTTCCGTTTCACAGTCCTCCGGCGTTTTCGCACGAATCGATACACCAGGTGACCAGATAAGGCCGGGGGAAAATCTAAAGAGTGGTTTCACAGACCCCGTTTGCGAAACCACCCCCGCGTGTCGTTTCGTTATCTCATGCTTAATTACAGTCCACCGAACTGTCGTTTCGCCCCTCCCTCTACGAACGAAACTTGAATTCCGAGCCTCTCTCGCTCCGAGGGATGCGAGTTTGTAAAAATGGAAAGGTTAATAAATTTCCTTATTTCAAGGAATAAAATGAATAAGGAAGGGGGATATATTTTAGAATTATTGGATTTTAAGATAAGGTGTAGAAGAAGTTGGGGAAGATATGGGATTGGAAGGGGAAGAAATTTTTGAAAGTGAGTTTTAAAGAAGTTGAATGATGTCTCGAATAAGCAGGATGCTCAGATTGTATTGTTTAAATCGTTTTGATTGCTTTAAGTATCACGATTATTGATTGACAATGTATTCTGGATACAATGATAAAGTTTGGAAAAATTATATTATGGGGAATTGGATTGCACGATGACGAACTGAAGCAGAAATTAAATAATATCAATGTTTATTTCGCGTTTACACAACTCTTCGGTTATAACAAATATCGTTACTATATACAATACGTTAGTCTTAATCGCTGCTAAAATATCAATAAATCGTCGATCTGTCTAATATATACTACGAAACGAAATATCAATGGCACATAAAACTTCTTATTTCGAAAAAAAAAAAAAAAGAAGCAATCTGTAGTACTATACATTGCAAATATTCTTTTCATCGAAAAATCATCACACAGTAAAATATATCTGCGATATTAATCAAATAAGAAAAAAAAAAAGAAAAGACCTTATCTAACATCTTACATCAACAACTGATTACGTTACTTTCATTTCCTTATTAAATACACAATAACTAATACTTAATTAGATTTAAATACTTTTGCAGAAATAGATTTTGTACGTCCTACATACAGTCACGAGTCATGGAACTTTCAGAGCAAGTTTCAATAATTTTCTTCCCATAACCACGAGTTTCCTCTTTCTCTCTTATAATAATAAAAAAAAAAAAAATAATAAAAAATAAAAAAAAAGAATTCTTACGTCTCATCACTGGGTCTGGCTAACGTGAAATCCAAAATCTCGTCCGACGTTAAAAATCGAACGTCGCTATCCTCCGAGAGAGCCGATCCATTAGTTCCACGTTTGTACGTTTTTCTTCGTCTGACGATTATGGTTGCGACCAATAATGAAATCGCCACTCCGGTTAGAATTCCGACCACTACACCGATTATCCCTGGCAAGCTGAACTTCGAAGCCCGATGTATTTCAGGATCTTGCCTCCTCATATCTGAATCTGTGGAATCGTTACATAAATTTTTATTCGAATCTCTGAAGAGCATCATTTCAAACTTTTGTATAGAAAATTATTCGTGTATAAATCTCGAAACTATTTCCTTCTTTAAACTATTCTTTTATTAACATTCTTTATTAACGCACGAGATATTAAATTGCAATATTCATAGAAAAATCTATCCTAAATAATTATTTAAATTATAATCTATATCTTTCTTTATTCTATATTCTCCTTCGACCCACACACCAAACCGAAATAAACTATTCCGAATGAACAACAACCCGTGAAGTACCGCAATAACCATTCTACGCTCAAACACAACGTACAATATCAACCACCGTAATAAAACAACCGAAGCATGATCAAACTGAAACGCAATCTAAATTTCAAGTACGACCAAACACTTCGCATTTATCTCTATTTCTCTATTTCCAACTCGAAGATCTATTCGAATTCCGAAACCTCGTCACCAGATACCGGCCAAACTTTCATAATTAAATGTATTGTAAAAATGATTTAATACGTTACCAGGTTTCTCGTTCACAGAACCGTATCTTCCGGTGATGCTCGTGGATCGAACGAACGGCGTCTCCTTTGTCTGCGCGATTTTCGTTGTTGCGACAGTTGTTGTTGTTGTTCTTGTTGTTGCTCTTGTTGTTGCTCTTGTTGTTGTTGTGAATGGCGGTTTGGTAATTTTCATCGATTTCTCCACTTTCCGCGTGGACGATGATTTCAACGTGGTGCTGGTAGACGGCCTCAACGTGACAGGATCGATATCGTCCTTTGGATTTATCGAGAAACCTGTCCTGACTGTCGCCACGTCGGTCACCGTGATCTTTCTCGCGGGTGGAACGGAAACTGCCCCTTCGCGATTCGTAGTCGGGATTTGTTCCGTTGCCGTGATCATTTCTTCGGTCTCAGCTACGAATTAGAATGCCTCGTTAAGGCGAATAAATGATCGAGTATTAATTGGCAGAAATTGGATAATTTTGTAACTTTTTTAACTCTTCTTATATTCCAAAATTATACAATTTTTTCAAGCAAACTTATTTTCTTTTTTTTTTTTAATCAAGAAAGTTGTTGGAAGAACTTTTTATTTTGATTTATAGAAAATTAAAAAATATACGCTGAATGATATTGAGATATGTCTTAAGATAGATTATATTCTGTTTAAAATTGTTAATAGATACGAAGAAACTTATTTAATCTTTTGGTAATTCGATATTTTAAATAATAAAGAAAAGATGAAGCGATAATATAATAAAAAAGAAAAATGGAAACTTTGAGGATATAGAAATTTATTTTATTCGTTAAGCATTGTATCATATTCGTATCTTTGAATAAATAAATATGCACAAGCTGCTTGCGATTGTTACAATTGTAACGATTCGTATTTAACTTTAAATCGGAATGGAAAAAATAGTGAGAAAAGATGAGATACGTGAAAAAAATCACATCGATTCAATCTACTCACCTAGAACACAATACTCCGCGTAATCCGGGCAGCACATTGACTGTTCTTCGCAATCGAGGGTACAGAGACAGACTTCCGGCGTGGGTGGCATCGAAGTTGTAAAATTGTATGTCACACTATTTTTACATCTTCCACGGCAAGTTTGCTGCGCGTTCACCAGTTCGATTTGATCTAGGGAAACAACATTCGTTTCAAATAAGATATAAATCGTTTATTCGACAATAAAACGAAAATGGAGCGAAAATGGCGTAGTTTATTTTAAAAAAAAAAGAAAAAGATTCTTTTAAAAAACTTTCAACTCATCGATACGAAGAATAATTGCACGCTACAAAAAGAAACGAATCGTTTATCGAATATAAAGATCGCGATAGGAAAAAAAATTGTAACGTTTCTTGTATTTTATACAAAGAGAAAAGAAAGCGATTTTTTTTTTAATTTACTACACAATCGATCTCACAATCAACTCTCTTCGTATTTGATTTTAAGATTAAATATATCTGCTTTTAACGCAACTCTTGGATATTTGAAAAATATGTTTTATTTCATAATATTAGTTATAATCTTTCGTATTTATCATATTTTTAACGAATTCTAAGAGCAAATTTTTGTACGAAAATAGTTGTGAATTACAATTTAAAGATATCTTATAGAAAATTATACGTGCTTTGATAAGAGTTCGCTATAGAATTATTTCTTTAATCTAGGATATTGTTACAATGTGACGTACGTGGCATATTCTAATATCTGCAATACTGATTTTCATGTAAATGTGAATAGAATGCTCGCAGGTTATATATATACATAGGTTGTTATAATGCAAAAGGAAATCATGTGATGTGAGAAGATTATCCAATCTATATCTTTAGCAACAATAGAAAATAGAAGATAATTTTCCATTTATACACTTACAATAACATAACTTGTAACACAACGTGGAAAATATATGTATTATTTCAAATGTGAATTGTCTATAATCCAACGTATGAGAGTTAAAAAGAGAATAATATAAAATCAATATCAGACATTTCTTCAGTGATACACTTATTAAACTTTGCCTCTATTCTGAAACAATTCATCTGTAACTCCTATATTCGCAATAATCCAAGAGTTGATACGCCATTTCATTATGTTTCCGTTAGTTTCGCAACTTGCCACGTTTCTCGCCTCCATTGTTCAATCGTTCCCTATTGTCCGGCGTTTTAATTAAAAGATAATTCGAACGAATTATTATCGTCTTGGGATTAGATTCATCGTGAAAAATTGTATTTCTATTCGAATTACCATCGTCGCTCTCGGTGACCGTCACGGTCTCATTTTTATTCTCGATACGACATTTCTCTCCCTGTAAAATGGCTATGTCGTCCACGGCGATGTCGCTCACATAGCTACTGCCTCGTACCCCTTCGATTATAATCTAAAGGATAAATAAGAAAGCATGAGGAGAATAAGATTGATATTTCGTTTTTTCGCTCTATTACCTGAAAACCTTTTTTAGCCTTGGGAAGATTGAAAATACCGTGCAGCCATTGATTGCCTTGGTCACCCTCCTTGGTGAACATCAAACGAGGCAACAGGTTTTCCTGTTTGAAATATATATTTAGAGCACCTATCGTTGCTCCATACATGTGATACCTAAAATTTTAAAAACATTATATAAATAATTATCGTTATTACATATAATGTATGATATAATGTAATAAATTGAACATTGAAATCTATAATGAATAAACATCACAAAAGTGATGAATCTATATAATATTATATATTTTTTTTATCTTGTATTAATTACTGATTAAATACTCATGTTATAATTATTCATTCGTTCAAAAAATTCAACGAAATATGTAAAAGTAATTTTCTTCCAAACCTCGAAATTCCATAAATTCAAAATTTTCTCAATTTTCTTAATTTTCTCCGATTTTCATATTTTTAAATTATTATTAAATCGTAGTAATTTTGAAGTATAACATCGTAAAGGTAAATTTGTTCAATATAATTTTCTCATAACTTCTTTCATCGAACGTCAGCTCCAACACACGAATCATATATTTAAATGATGATTGAGGACACGGCCGTTCTCTAATGAACTCTTATGAACCCGTAATTATGCGACCTATAATATTAACTAACGCAAAAATGATTCATCAAAAATATTATCCCCGTTTTTTTTTCATAGGTCGCCTTGAATTTTCGTTATTATATTTTTTTATATTATTAATTTAATCGAATCGCAATAAATTCATTTCCAAGCAAACACATTCGTACAATGAAATATAAAACGATATCTTTTTAAAATATTTAATTTACGATCCTCTCAATCGAGATATAATAATCATATAATAATTTAAAACGAACGCGATTCTCTAAGAAATTATGAAACTGCATTTTTGAAACGAAATTGAATTACGACTTCATTAGGTTGTAAAATAATGGGAATTATTCTCTGACAAATGAGATACGCCAGAAGAGAAAGAGAGAAATTTTACTTAATTCGATGTAAAACTTTCGTTTTCAGAACTTGTATGAATTATGACTGCGAGCGATTTCCAATTTGTATCTTGCAATTTCAATAAATTTCAATTATTCGAAAAATGTTCGATTTCGAAGTTATGAAGATTTATATGTGTGAATAATTATCAGTGTGTGATTATCTAGTTTTAAATTAATAATTTAATTTCTAAAAACTCGAGAAGGAAAAGATCTAATTTTTTGATAATAATTGTGTCAACGTTTAGAAAAATTTTGCTTTGTTACCAGAATGAGAAACAGCCAGAGTCCGTGTACGACGCGTTATAAATAGGAGAAATAATTCTTGCAGAATCATTTTGCAGCCGACCAGAAGCTTCGATGTACAAGTAATAACCTGGAAAAAAAAGTTGAATGATACTGAGAATTTTGATATCCTTCTGAACAAAAATTTATTTAAAATAATAATTTTTTATCTCGTGAAAAATAATAAAAAAAAATTGCAAGGTTAATTTTTTCTCTCTTAATTACAAATTTAAATTCTTTATTTGAAATCTAAATCTAAATTTATTAATTGTTATTATTTTTCTTGATCTTTTTCTTAACTTGAAATATTTCACAACACATTATTTATCATTGTTTCAATTTATATGTGGAAATTGTTTACTATAAGATAGATAAAAAAAGTACCCTCATTTCCTGGTCCCAATGTGTGATCATGAGTTGGACCAGTTCCTATATGAGAGCTTGGTGTCTCGAAGTTGTGTCGCCGCCAATCGAAATCGTGCTGTGGATCTTGCTCCCACCAACAAAGATCCGGTTTCTCGAAATCGCATTGCGTCGGGGGTGCCGCATTTGTGTCTAATTAAATAAGTATTTAATTTAATCTTTTCGAATAAAATTCATTAGGAACTTTTTTTTTTTAATTTACTTAAATAATTTACTTTAATATTGTATCATTATATAAATTAAATATTGATTAAATTGTTTGAATGAAAAGTATTCAATGAAATCATTCAATATAAATTTTACATTTTTGGTTATATCTGGAATATTAAAAACTTCATAAAAATTCTTATTGATTTCTTTTGAAATTCTAAGGATGAATGAATGAGATAAGATTCCATAAAAATTTTATAAAATTGCAGATTTAACTAGTAAATTAATAAAATTGATTCAAAATATTTTCCAATATTATTTATTACGAATAAATAAGAAAAAGAAAAAAATATATATATAAATACCTCGACAATAAGGCACTGTACCATTCCATTGTTTTCCATTGCAATAGATTTCGTGTGAACCAAATAACGTGTATCCAGGTTCGCAAAAATATAATAATATTGCTCCATTATATTTAGGCACAATAAGAGCATGCTCTGGTATTTGTGGTGCAGGACATTCCGCATCTATTAGAGTAAAATGATTAATAAAATTATTGAAAAAATTCTAGTGATAATTTGTATTTTTATTTTATTTATTTTTATTCATTCTATTTATTTATTTCTCTTTTTACAATTTTACTTCAAATTTTACTTAAAATTAAAATGTAAAATTATAAAATTTTAAGAGAAATTAAATAATAATCATTTATCAATATTGTTAATTCATAAATTATTATACGAGAAAATCCAGGTGTGAATACGACATACGTGTGAACTTTAATCATGTCGAAAGCTCAAAGTTCTTCACAATTGACAACGGAACAAACATTTTAACTGAACAATTTTATCAAGTGTGATTAGAAAACTGTACTTACTGACGCATATGGGCGTAGGTGTATCCCATTGGCCTCGAAAACAAGTTGCATACTTGGTACCCACAAGAGTGAAACCGTCGTAACAACTAAATTTGATGATCCTTCCTCTGACCCTCAATCGAACTCTTCCATTCACCAGCTTTACCATGGGACATCTATTTGGAGCTTGAAAACACAGATTAATTTACTTTTATTATTCATGATAAGACTTTCCGTACGATAAATTAAATTTAAAAGGAAAAAATTTAAAAAAACAAAGCATTCATGATTTAAAAGAGAAAACAAAAAATATAATGAAATGGTCGTAATGGAAAATAACATGAAATAGATATGAATTTTTTGTTTATTGAATTATGATATTTTTTTATTTTTATTTTTTTCGAGAAAGAAAAATATAAAATGGAAATGAAAATATTAAATTATAATGGTTATCGAATTGAAATTGTTAAAAATTTTAACATTTACCGTTTTTTTTTTGATGAAAATGAAGCATATTGATGAAATTTTAATAAAATTTATTTATCGTTAGGATATTATATATATATCATTCTTTTATCTTAATTACATCTCGTCAATGTAATATTATTATGATTAAAAAATTGAATTTTTTATATACGGTCTTAATTTGATAAACTGTTGTAATATATTAATAAATAATATATTACATTTGTTTAATAATTAATCAATCAATTTATATTTTTTGTTTCCTACAATCCTTTGTAATCTTTTATTATTTTAAATTTTTAAAAATATCATATGATTTATACGATAATCTAATGATAACAAAGAAAAATGAAATGTTAATAAACTGTGTTTAAAAAAGGATAAAAATCATAAAACAATATAATAAAAAACTATTATTCCTAAAAAATGAATCAATGTTTAAATATTGAGAAACAGTAATCAAGTATCTTGTTACAGTGAAAAATGAAAACTAAAGACTTGGCATAAGGAAAAAAAATATTATGGACGGGATATTTCTGATTTATTCCCTACGGACAGTTCGATACACAGATTATTGAATATTCAACGATGGCCTTTATTGGTAACAATACTTGTCAATAAATGCCGCGCGTAATTTTCAATATTATACAAAGGGGAATTGAGAAAGAGGGAGAGGGAGAGAGAGAGAGAAATCGATAAGCCAGATGAAATTGGATCTTAATTCTTGAAGAAAACCTTTTGTCTCGTTTCTTCGCCTTACAAAAGTTGCTATCAGTAAACAAAAGTACTTATTCCTTGTCTTATAAAAATAAACTGTGAAGAAGATGAGCCGATTCTTTTTTTTATATTTTAATCGATGAAACGCGAAGAAATAATAGAAGTGAAAAATCAAATCGACAAATTAGGCGAAACAATCAAGTTATTCTTTGTTAATTTTATAAATGATTATAATATCATCGAATAAGATTCTTTTAAAATAAATAAGATGGAAAATGAGATAGAGAATGGAATATCGTTATTTTTCGATCGAATAATCTGTTTGTAATGTGAACTCTTCTGTTATTTCTTCATTTGTGCGAGCAAAATGAAAGAAATTGACATAAATTTTAAAATTGAACAGCAAAGCTTATTTTTCTCCAAGTTTTATAAAAAAGAAAAAAAATTATTAGATGAATTCATTAAATTTTATTATTTTTACTCACAACCTGAAGAAAATTTGATATTCTAAAAAGATGAAGGATATAATTTTACTACAATCGGGATGAAAATCTGAATTAATCGTGACTTACTTGTTGCTGCACCATAGCAAACGGTACACTGAACCAAGAAGGCCAATAGAAGAAACAGCGTTGTTGAAGAGATCCTCATCCTGTGAATCTTTTTTTATTCCTCAAGGAACAATTCACCGTAACTAATAACTCATAAATCGAATTCAAAAAAGAAAAAAAAAACAAGCGTTTTCTCTTTCGATTATGCAATTTTGCTTTTAAATCGATGATTAAATTTTCATACACATGTTCTCAAAATCCATCATCAGAAGGATGAAATGGCGAATCGTGAATCACGTGAACAACGGTTGAGGTAAAGGATAAGAATGAAAAGACGATACACATTGGACGAGGGATAAAAACGAAAATCGGTTCTCGAATCGTTCTACATCTATGAATGAAACAGGGATGCCGCGCTTTGGGATTATTACGCTCCGAACGGAAGGCGGGAAAATCACTTCCGTCGACATGCTATCGTGATAGTGTACTATCAATTTCCGGCTGGCGTTATCAACACCGAACATTGCCAGGCCTTGAGGAGAATTCCTACAAATTGCATTTGCGCCAGAGATAAATGAATTCCAAGAGAGAGAAACACTGACCGTCTCTGATTAGATCACGCCCTGGCGCCAGGATTTTTCCTTTTTTCCAAGCCAACGCCACGGACGTGCCTTCAACCCCGTGCAAAGAGTATTTTATATATATATTTTTTTTCATCTTTTCATTAGCAACATTTATTTTTTGTGGCATCTTTAGAGGCTTGATCAATAAAATCCAGTGATATAAATTCATTTTTTTCAAAAATGGCACAAGAATAATAAATAAGATTTTTATTTAAAAGTCTTTGTATTTAGATTTATGTTTCTTTATGATTAAGTAACATATTTCAATAACGTATTTGCAAACGCAAATACAAATTTTTTTTATTTAATTTTAATTTTAATCATAAGTTTTTCATGTTAAAAATTTTATCATAGTTATAAACAGTTTCTTTTAATTTTTGATGTTAGGAGAGAAGAAAGATTGATTGGGATGTAAATAGGAATTGTATGTGTGTTAGATATATTATTAAAATATATTATATAATTAAAATGTAAAATACTTTATTAAAACTGTAAAATATTTCTCAATAATAGTTTCTTGATAAAATAATATTATTTACATTATAATAAATCAACGATTTGGAGGTAAAAATTGTTTAAAAATACATATTGAGGCTCAATTAATTTGAATTAAAGAATCGTCTATATAAATCGTCTCTAATAAAATATTGTGAGATATTACATTTTTATTATAGAACGATATTTTGAACAAATTTCAAGATAATTCACAAAATAATATATACATGAAATAATAATTGTACTCAAATTCAAATAAATTCAGTCTTCGATATTGATTTTATTGTTGTAATATATGATTAAGATTTTGTTAAAATTTTTAAATTACGAGAAATCCATTTTAGTATTAAACAATGATTTGAATGCAACTAAAGTTTTATTATAATTTTCATTCTTTTTAGGTCTTTCGGATATTGGTTGAACAACTATTTTTTCAAAATTTGATAATAAATCCAACTGTTTAATGGAACTCTTTGTTACAAATTGTTCCATTTCAGATTGTTGCGTTTTATCAAAAATAAAAGTTTGCTTTATTCGATTCATAGCCTCTTCTATAAAAAAAAAATTATAATTAATAAATACTTCATTTTCTGAAAATAAAATCAAATAAAAAAATATATGAGAAATTCTACGAAAAAATTTAATTTAACAAAAATATTAAAAGAATTGAAATTTACTGATGACGGAAAGCAATGAGTAAGCAACAAAGCGGAAATATAAAAATTCTCGTGGACCGATAAATAGGGATAAAATTAAAATAACTCGTATCATGTGGTAAGAATAAAAAAAGATAGAAAAATGATATCAATAAAGAGGAAGTTTAAAATTTAGTTTCATTACACTTATTCTAATACAAAATATTTATACTTATATTTATACTATTTAACTTACGTTCATTTTCATGAAGAACAAAATTTTCGAAAGTATTTAAATTCCTCATAAATAAATGAAAGGAATCTTCGATATCCGTCAATCGAATTACAAAATCAGGGTCACATATTGCCAAATGCGACAAAAATCTTATTCCGTCTCTTAATACTTTTGATTGTTTCTTTTTTATAATTGACCAAGCATTTTCGTCTGAAAACTTATCCTGGTATATTTCACCTATACACATTTTATTTGCTTCCATATTAAACAGCGAGTGTTTCGTACAAATGTTCTTTAAATTACAAGAACTTTTTCTTTGTACAGGGAAATTATCTGGATTAAAATTTCCAATGGCAGCTAGATTTGCTTCAGAACACTTACACAATGTTTTAATAGTGAATCTTAACAATTTCATACAACAATTACAAGAATTCAAAGTTTCAGATCTCAGAGGAATAATATCTGTATGTAATATATATTGTACAATTTGTAACAATATATCCGTAATGTCAATTGCAGATAATATATCAAAGTGATAGTTCTCCTCCTGTGCTAAAAGGATTTGTAATGGACAAGCATCTGAAATAGATATATAATAATTATTAAAATTGAATTATGATTTATTAAAAAAAAGATTGTTTTACCTGGAGTAAAATGTAATGAACCTTTCCAGTTGTTCACTGCCATTGATTCTATAATAAAAATAATAAAGTAATTATTTATAAAATATGAAAAAATTTATTAGATTTATCATTTAAAAATATTAATATACATAAAGAAAATTAATAAAATATTTTTGATATGAATTATAAACGTTCATTAATATAATTATAAATTACATACGTGAATTAATACAAAGTTTCTTTAAATGAATTGTAGACTTCACAAAAATCATCATCAAATTATTAAGTAATGTATAACAATATGGCAAAGGTCTACTGAATATTATTTCTTTAAATATTTGATAAATATATTCCATTCTGAAATAAAAAATTTAAAATATATTAATTATTAAAAAATAATATATATATATATATACACACACACACACATATATATTAGATACATACCCTTCAGAACAATATTGAACTTTTTCATGAACATTGTAAATAATCATCATAATTGCACATATAACACCACTAAATTGATGAGATCTTCTCTAAAAATAAATAATAAAATTTTAATATTGATAATTATTTATTCTTTTTAATTATAAAAATATGTATCATTAAGTAATATATATTACCGTAGTCCCAATTAAAACAACGAACTGTAATATCATTTTAAGTATTTCAAAATCTTGACTCTTGTTCAACCAAGTATTGTAACGAACCATTTGACAGGAATAACGTTTATAAGACTCATCTCTCTCTATGAGTAAATGTGTTTTTCCTGCAATATACTTGCTAAGATAAGTTGATTCCACACTTACATACGATAACACGCCAAATACTCTTCTAATTTCAACACCACGTTCACATTCGTGCCATGCATTAGCAGAACACACGCATTTTCCATTGAAGTCAGAACTCGAATATAAAGAAGAAAAATAAATATCATTCATATCTCGAATATCGTCATTCTTCATAGCTTGGGAAATTGTTTGTAGAATAATTATTATATTTAAAATTAATTCCCTTGCAGTAGAAATTAACTAAAAATATAATTATTAATAAATTTGTATATTGTTTAATAAAGTAATTTAATATATATATATATTTATATATATGAGAAAATAATTTACTTTGTTTATTAATGGTATAGTTTCTTCTGCCTCAAGTTCTAAGCTGGTTTTTCGTTGAAGAGCAACTATTTCTGGCATAATAAATTCCACCGATAATTTTTTATTATCAATTATAGTCGTTATTGGTTTTACTAATTCTGGATTTTCTATAAAATGCACAAAGTAGTTAAACTCTGAATAAAGAATATAATTTAATTAAATAAAAATATTACCGAATATTCTTGATGTATCTTCTTCTTGTAAAATTGGCAAATTTCGTCTTCCTATTTTTTCTATAATCTGAATATCAACTATAGATTTTTCTGGTTGTGGTGGATCATATATTGATTTTGGAATTTCTGCAAGAGGAAAATCTACAACATATTCTTATTAAATTTATTCTTATGAATTATATAAATCATATAAATTAATATTTTTTGTATTAAATTATAATCTTCTTACATGGATTCCATATTTTGAGAAAATGATTGTTTTTATTAATCATTTTATTAGTTTGTACATAAGTGTCTTTAACTTTTATTGGTTTCGTGATTGAAACTGTTGATCTAAAAATAATTATTAAATATTTTTTTAATATTTATTTAAAAAAAGTATTTATTATTATATATTTTTTAATATTTTTAATATTTAAAGAATTTAAATATTAATTTTAAGAATTTAAATAAAATATTTAGTTTCTTTAATATTTAAAGAATTATTTACCGATTTTTTGGCGAACTAAATTTATTTTTATTCATAGAAAGATTTAAATTTATAGTATGTGGTTCTGTTAATTTAATATTTCCACTCTCTAATAATTTACAACGTTCCATTAAATTTCCTACTTCAAATGTCTATAATAAAAAGATAAAAATCAGAATATATTATTTAGAATAGAATTATAAAAAAATTAATTATCAATAAATTACTAACTTGCAATTCAAGTTGTGTTTTTAAATTTTCCTTTTCTTTACAAATAGTATTAATTTCCAACCTATGTCGATTTTCTTGTTCTTCAATAAAACGTGTTTTTTCCAATCTATCATTTTCTGCTCTTAACTGAGTTTGTTGCAATTGGTTTCGTAAAAATACAGCTTCTCCTTCTTTAGTTATGAAGTCATTTAATAACTTTTGATTTTCATATTTTAATTTCTCCAATTCCTTTGCATATTCTAATTATAATATTATTTTCAATAATATGCAAAAATATAATAAAATATTATAATTTCCTAAGAAACTCTTACTTACCTGTAGTAGCATCATCTAATTTAAATGTTGAATTATATATTTTTTTATTTATTAATTTATCTTCAAATTCATTATAATCAACGGAAACTACAGTACTTATATCTTTTATGTTTTCTTCTTTTCTTCTTTGATTACTTAATATATGTGCAGAAGATATTTTATGATTATTATTATCTAAATTAATTTTACTAGTAGATGGTATTGCATTTTCTATAAATGTTTTTTTATCTATATCTGATTGACTTATAATATTATCATCCTGAAAAATAATATAAATATAATAAATAAATTTATATATTAAAAAAAACATAAAAAAAATGTAATATAAACAAAACCTGCAAACAAGCCTGAGTTGCTATAAAATCCATTTCTTCAATATCCTCTTCTGCAAAATCATCTCCCCAAACATCATCTCTTCCATATTTTTTATTTCTTGAATCTTTATTGTTTATAGAAGTATTCGATAAACTCCCTTTCTTTATATCATACTTTGGACGTTTTGCAGGTAGAGAAAATTCATTTTCACCATTACTTTCTATTCGTTTAAACATTTTAATTTGTTTACAATATTTAACAACATAAAAGATAAATTTAACGTATTTTTTTGCCAATTCTTTATATTCAATAGAAGTTATTTATATAATTTGAATGAACAATTTTGTTTATTTAAAATTAACAAAATTGTTATTTAATACAATAATTTTGACGAATGCTACATTTTATTCAATCTGGAAATTCAATAAATAATTATAAAATATCATAGCTTTTTTAAAATATTGATTCATTCTAAATTCTAACCTTTTAATTATTTTATGATTTTTTTTAATGATATTAGAATAACAAAAATTCAATAAATATTTAAGAACATTATTCTTCATTCTTATTTATTAATTTATTGTAAAAACTTGTTATAATAATTAGAACATTTGAAATTCATTTCAAATAGTTATATGACAGAAGTTTGCTTACAAAATATATTAAGAGTGGTAATACTGTCATTTAATGGAATAGTCTATATTCGTTAGTGAACAAAGGAACGCGCGGAAATAATTTCAAATAGTGTACTTCGGACGGTTATTTTGCAAATTAACAATATATTATTAAATATTAGTGCTTATATATCATTTCAGTCAAATTAATTTGCTTCAAAGTCATTGTAAAATTGTAGTTTTATAAATTCTTTCATTGTGTTTACATAATTTTTCAAAAATTTTGCAACTATCTTCCGATATTCATAGTGCTTCACAATTAAAGAAAAATAGAATAAACATAATTTATATATAATTGTGCTATAGTGTTAAGATTTTTCATCAGGGATAAAATTTTTTTTCATAAAGCAACGAAAGGTATGTATATTTTCTAGTAATAAATAATTTATTCACTTAAAATGTTCCAAAATTTAAATTTAAAATTTATGCTAATTTTTTTTACAATTCTAAAATGTTATACATACATAATATAAGTAAATAAATATTAAATATATAGTGAAAATATAATATTTCAATAGATATGAAAAAAAAATATAATTATCCATAAAATTTATCCATTTTCGTAAAATCATCGGATTTAAATCGAGCAACGAATATTTCTGGCGCCATATTGACTTCTGCATCGATCTTTTGAAATATGTGATTATTACGCGTATTATTTTCATTGAAAGTATTGAGTTTTTGTGTATTTGCAACAAAATCAGTTCTTTTGATTGAATCACCATGATTTTCTTCGTCAGTATACCATTGAGATATCATTTCTTTAAGTGGTTGCAAATGATTCACATTTTTTTTAACCTTTTCTAATTCTTCGTTACAAAGTCGTTCTACTTCTATCAATTTTTGTTTATATGCATTTGCAACCATTTTCCATCGAGCATTGTAACGTTTCTCTGCTTGGCTAAAGGAATATTCATCTTGATATTTAGCTAACCTTTTTTCGTATTCGAGTATTGTCAATTCTCTAAACGTATCCTCAGAAGTAATATCTAAAAGATCTCCTGTATCATAAATTAATCGATCCTTTGAATATTTTTAAAATATTTTATGTTTTATCTTCTAAGAAAGATTACCTAAATTATTAGACAATGGTGATTCAGCTGCATAAGCTGCAGCAGCTGCACGTGCAGCTGCAGTTGCTTCTTCTAAGGCCAATTCATCGTCTTTTTCACGTAAGAGTTGCAATTCTTCTCTTTCCTTTTTCCAAAGTTCTATCTCTTTTTTCAATTCTTGTTTTAAATTTTGCATCACTTCACTAAGAGATTCTATGCGTTCCCGAAGAATACAACTATTAATTACGAAAATTATTCAATAATACAATATGTAATTGTTTTTTTTTAATTAAAAAAGAAAGTATTACATACTTTATTATAGTATTACATACTTTAAATCTTTATCATCTTGATCATCCTCTGCTAATTGTGTACCTTCTAAAATCACCGAGTCTTCTGGCTGTTCAAGAACAGCCGAAAGTTTTTCTAACGAATCATTTTCAGAAACGCGATCATAGTTTGGTAACACACTTCCAAGATCTAATGTTAAATCGGCTTCTGCTAAGTCTTTTTTACCCTGTTCTTCATCCAATATTATTTTGCATTGATTATCAACATTTTGTATGCTGTCCGAATTGCTCGAACAATCTGTTGAAATTTCTGTCAATGACAAATGTTCGTTTTCCATTATAATTTCTTTGTCTTTTCTTCCTACTAAGATTACCGATTTGACAAACTTTTTAATCAAAGATGGATGATTATTGAACAATCTAATTAATTGAAGTTATTTCTCTTTACATACTTCATTTTATGATATGATATTGTTTCTTCATTATGTTTTCTAAGTTACTATAAAAAATATAATTCCATTTATGTTTACAAACATTGTATATTTGTATATCTATAAGGATAGATATTTAAGGTGAAAAATAAAAATATTGAAAATAATTTCCTATACTTTCTATTGCTTCAGAGAACGATACAAATATTTAAGTTGAAGTTATTTCTACATTTTCTTTCTGTACATTTTTTATCCATATTTATAATGCTTGTTTCTAATCATAAATTATCTAAAATTCCAAAAAATAGGTATGTATGGTACTCAACTACATAAAATTTTTGATATAAGATGACGGTAGTGAGTGACCTCTTCTACCATTGGTATCGATACTATGCTAGTTTAATAGGTTATTATTGATTTTTCTTTATTAAAGTCATGTATTTAAAGAAATTAATAATTTTTCTGCGGTAGAAATCAAATATTTGTTGATTATAAATAAACTTAATAAATGAAATTATTTTCGATTTATTAAAATCAGATTTTCTGTCATTGATGTTAGTTATATTAGTATAGGTTATGTGCATTGATTTTAATGATACTAGTGAAAGAAGGAAAATATATTTATTAAAATACAAGTGTTGATTTTTTGTATTAGAATCTTTTTAAATTAGTGACAAAATTTTTTAAATTTAATAAAAGAAACTTATATCTTGAAATGTAATGACGGAAAGAGGTTAATTCAAACTTGAATATAAAAGGATTTATGCAAATATCCTTTGTATCAAGGTTTTTTATTATCAAAAAAGATGTTTGTATACCTCTGGTCACTAGTGTGCTCGTATTTCAGACCAATTATAAAATGGTTATTAAGGCATACAACGCAAATGTGTGAACTTCAAAGAATTTGTTATGGAGAACTCCCTGGAGCACCAAGAACACTAGCTGTAGAAAAATCTCTTAAATTATCTAAAAATGCAAATATCAAAACTCTTTTACTCTACTTGAATGATCTTGCTGATCAATGTGCATTTACAAATCAAGCAAAACGAAAAATTGTAAAGGAAGCTATTGAAAGTGTATTGGTAACTAAAAAAATAAACCCAGCAGCTCATCCTGATTTTTCTAAATCATTTGGTAAATGTATAGAATTAATTTGGGGCTATAGACAACTTTGTGTGGAATGTGAAGAGCTTAGGAGAACACCTTATGATGCTGATAATCCAGATCATGAATTATTATTATTAAAGTTATGGAATTTATTAATGCCATATGAGCCTCTAGATGCTAGAGTTACTAAACAATGGCAACATATTGGCTTTCAAGGTGATGATCCAAAAACTGATTTTCGTGGAATGGGAATTTTGGGATTAGAAAATTTAGTTTATTTTGCTCAGGAATATCCCAGTGCTGCAACACATGTATTATCGCATTCTACACATCCACGTTATGGTTATGCATTTGCCATAGTTGGCATAAATTTAACAAGTATGGCATTAAAATTATTAAGGGATGGAAGTGCTAAGACTCATATTTATAATTCTTCAAAGGGTTTTCCAACAATTCGTGCATTTCATCAATTTTATAGTTATCTTTTTTATGAATTTGATGGATTTTGGATTGATTCAAAACCAAGCAATATGATGGAATTTTCATGTATACAAGAAAAGTTTGAAAATAGTATCAGAATGGCATTAGCTGACACATCTATGATTTTTAGGATAAATATATCAGTTGATAATGTTTAAAATAAATATTTTTAATTAATAAAACTAAATCGTGATCACAGTAAATATACTATTGCACAAAACTATTTCTATAATATGTAAAACAGTGTCTTGTGAGTGAATAATAGCATTATTGTGAACTATGAAGATATTAAAATATAAAACAAAACAATTATTTTAAAATTATTAAGTTACAGAAAGATACAAAGAATTTTAATACATTTGATATATTTTTACTTTATTTTTTTACTTGCAATAAAAAACTAATAAAGAAAATGTATTGTTACCTGTAATGAATGTGAAACAGTTTACATTCAATCTTATTTAACAAAAATAAGTTAAAGTACAACGTTTATCCAAATAAATATGTTACTTTCAATTTTATTTAATTTTTAAATAGATCTGTGTATAATATATAAGGTATTTTGTTATATTAATTCAGATTTTTTTCTGGGAAGAAAAATACAAAATATAATAGATATTTTATCATGTATTTAATAACAACAATTTTCATTTAAAAGTATTTATTGTAAAACATATTTGTTAAAAAAATGATAGATTTGCAATGACTATTACACATGTTTTATATGAAATAAAAAATGCAATTATTAGAAATGAAATATAGACGTATTTTTATCTTCTGTCTATATTATGGGCACTAATCAAATATAATATAATTAGAAAAATAAAAGATTATGTAACTTGTTAAATATAAAAATAAAAAGTTGTCTTTAATTAAAAAAATTTATACATATACATATATATATATATATATATATATATATATATATATATATATGTTNTAT